TATACGTACTTGTGCGATTGCCATCGTGTGCATTTCTGCAACTGATCGAATACGGCTAATCCATTCATGACGTGCTCGGGCATCAGCAGCCCGTAACTTGAACATGTCGCCAGTTGCAGAGTTAACTGTAAACGTATTGGAATCTTCATCGCTTGGAGAGATAACAGCTGCCGCTAGATGCACCGAGCCACGCGGACGCTGTTTCCGCTCCGACTCGTTCTAACAAGAATTGAATATATTGATCAGAAGTGACTTCTACCATGCAGAGACTGGAACTAATAAACACAAGTTATAAAAAATATGTGAACACAAGAGTACTTGATTGACATGTTCACCAGAATTTGACCTCTGATCTTTGTGAATACAACCAGAGACACCAGAGTAGTTTGGGTCAATCACCTCTGCATGGGTAGGGTGGTAGGACGTAGGATGCTCATCTGCCAGGGCGGTAATGTCATCATGGAAGATTCACTACATATTTGTAAGGCAAACTGGGGATTCACTACCCAGTGTTCCAAAATACATTTAGGTCTTCATGTAATGTACCTGCATTTTACTGTTATGCAGTCTTACCTCCCAAGCAGCAGCAGCTAGAAAGACTTAAGTTCCACGGTAAGCTCAAAATGTTGACATCAAACAGATGAACCACTGCTTCATTCATATTAATATTCAGTTAATTCCTGAACTTCAAAAAACAACCAAGACATAATTCAAAACAATGGTTGAAAGCATATAGCCTACTGCCATGGCCAGAAAGAAAAACCACATCAAAGATATTGTTGCACTAAACTTGTCTAGCTGTGAAGTCACTCAAAGCAACTGGTTGGGTATCACACCATAATGGGAGAGAGGAGCAAGGAGTGAGAGATATTTAGAATGCACTATTCTGTTCCTGAAGATTCCAAAGCAAACTCAGAGGAACCCAAGTCACCGATAATGATGCAAGGCACACCATAAATACAGTTCATGTCTGACCTCCTTGGCACCAAGGGATGGAGAGAGAGGAGTTGGAATGCATAAAAGCAACAGAACAAATCGGCCATTGCTTATTTAGTGTATGCACCTATTATTCACCTTGAAAATACATCATTAGCAGCTTCATACTGAGGAGCTAGCAAATAATAGCCTGTGTTCTATCAAATGGATGTTCTTCCCTTAGAAAATAGTGCATAGTACCAAAGTCCAAGGGTCTCCCGACATGGAAATCAAAATACCACTCACCTCTTGCAACAGTATAACAGAATAAGTAAAGGATTATGTTCACTGTCTACATTCCATATATTTCATTAATTCAAGCGCACAATTAATTTCAGTAAATATTACACTCAATATGGACTTACCAAAAAATAGTCAAGTACACCTGTCTCTGGATCCAACAAAAACCACCGGAATTGCCAACCCTTCATAACATTCGTGTATTTGCAAAGCTGTCCTTCAAACTGCTGACATAATTTTTCTGATGACATTTCTAATCTGAAAAATTAAAGGTTTATATTGTAATAAACCAAACATCACCTTCAAGGGATCACAGTGGTGAATGATGGTACATACTGTGACACAAGTGTAATTAAAAATTTTCCAGTATTTTTGCATACATAAATTAAATTTAAAAATTTACATAAGCAGAACACACAATGCTAAAAATTTATAGTATCCATGTACTCACTGCACCATAAGAAACAAAATCTTTATTCCGAGGCTTTACCCATGTGTGTACACTCTTAGTTCTGATTTAAATTTCTAATCTATCCACTCAGAATTTAAAAAATCACATTTCCTTTGTCTAGCATAACTGTCGCAACACTGACCAAACAAAATGCCATAACAGTATCAGATAATAATGGTTACAAGGTTCTCCTCAAAGGCTTCAAATGATTTTAGAATAACTTTTGACATCTGAGATTCTAACCGTGGTGAAGATGTTGGTCCTCTGGGTTACAAAGCCATGTGGACGCCAGCATTTTGGAGAAACATACAGTCTCCATCTTCAGGGATAGCTGGAGACATTTGGGAATTTTTTTCGACAGTTTATATACTTCACTTTCAGGATTAAGTGCCAAAAGTTTTTAACTATTAATTTTATGTTTTTAATAGTATTGTGTCGTATGATCTGACAACTTGTATTTTTCTTTTGAATTATACCTGTAATCAATTCTCGGTTGTATTTTAATTTTAATTTCAATATCATATCAATGTTGTCTGCAACATCAAATATACGTCATGTTTACACATTCATGAATTATGATCTTTAACCTCACCTATTAGATAACGGCATCACAAAATGTTCATAAAAGCACCATATTTCTCGTTACATTTAAAGTTTTAATCATTACCAACATTAAATTAATAATACGCTGACTACTTGCAAGAATCCAATTTACACTTCATAGTTCTCTTACGAGACAAAGACTATCGTCTGAGCTTGCAATCACAGATATTGAAACAACCGCACCCACCAAAACTACGTTGAAGGATGCGTTCCAGTTAACTGTTTGTTCAATGAGACTAAATTCATATTACATTATGAATGAAGTGCATGTCCCTTTCATTGCTATCTTTTTTCAAAAACATGTGGTTTGTGCTATGTTAGGTTCTCACGGCGGCGAGTATTACGATAATTGTTGCCGCTGTATAGGAATTGAGATTTTCACGGCGGTGAGTCTGAAGCCGAATGTCTACGGGGTTGCTGCGCCATGTAGTCTGGTAGGAGTTTACCGAAGTAATAACCCAAACGACGGCCACCTTCATGACCAGGTCTTGGTAGTGTTGCCAATTATACAATCAAAATGTTCCTATATTGCCCTTACATTTTTAATTTCAAAGAAACTAAAAGCATTCAATGGAATTATGTGTGACAGTAAAACTCTAAGTTTAGTTACTCATTTACACTCATTTTTATGTTGGATTAGGGAACGTGTTATCCCCAACCAGATGGCTTACTGAACCCGAAGGTTCATCACCGAATTAACCAAAGCCTTCCACCGGACCCTGTCCTGGGCCAACAAAATCCAGTTTCCTTCAACTCCTATCTCCCATAGATCCCGCCTGAGATTATCCTCCCATCTACGTCTAGGTCTCCCCAGCGGTCTCTTCCGTTCAGGTTTCCCAACCAGTACCCGGTGCATACCTCTTGTCCCATCCATGCGCGCTATATGTCCCGCCCATCTCACTCTTCTCGACTTAATCACCCTCACAATACTGGGGGAGCAGTACAGATTTTTAAGCTCGTCATTGTGCAGTTTTCTCCACGCCCCATCGTCTTCCCTCTTAGGCCCAAATATCCTCCTCAACACCCGATTCTCAAACACCTGCAATCTGTGTTCCTCCCTCTGAGTGAGAGACCATGTTTCACACCCATACAAAACAACAGGCAAGATTATTGTTTTGTATACTACACATAACATAACCTCCAATGAAGTATGTGACAAACTCGATGGATACTAAATTATACACTCTGCTAATGAGAAGGATTTGAATATGTGTCAGGGACCAAATATAAATAAGAAACCCAATTCAATCATTCTGAAAAGTTTTATCTTATGCTACTTCTCCTTCATTTACAGCAGTTACAATGCACATTTTTGTAGACGGGGGAATCTCATGTTTGAAGTTCATTCACAGTTACATTAATTGTAATACAGTGATATTGATTGTTTGCAAAAGAAAACAAAACATAGTTTTATAACATATTACATCATAGGTTCTAAGTTAATCTTAACTGATTCATACAATCTGGGACAAGAAATGCAGAAAGGTCACTGGTAAATTCAGAGGATTTGATGTCAACTGCATCTTTTTTCTTCCAGATGGAAATTATATTAACAATTCTAAATGTCCAACATTTGATAATGCTCTGACTTGTTTCCTCAAGTATGATCCAAATTCCCAATTACTGGAATTGCCAGCCAAAAAATACCATAATTTTTTTAACAAAGATATAATATAAGTATATACCATATCTGAAAGTCATCATTTTAAAAATCTGCACTATACACTGCTATATATGTCTGGAGAGTGCAACAAAATGTATTATACAAATTACTTCATATAGTCCATATTTAATTTACATATGGAAATAAGATTCTCAATGATAAATCTCAATTACCTCTATTTACAAATAAAAGCTATCATGTCATGTACCTATTCCATCACTTTAGTACGATACTCTCAAAACAATAAATATATTGAATCTGCAAGGCAGTGAATTATCATTTCATAGAACACACTGTAGATGATGTATTTCATTTCTATATGGGAAGATTCTCAATAGTACATCTTACACTCTATATATTAATCAGAACTAGCACGTCCTGTACTAGTTTGCTTCAGATGAATATCCTGGCAACAGAGTACAGTATAAAACTGCAAGATTGCTTACATTGTGATTTGTACCTTGCTCTGTTACTATTAGCATTGTTATATTGAACTTTGCATCATAGCAACATACTTACTTGCACTTTATACACAAAAATATAAGCAGGATGTTCAATGAATGAACTATCGAGATTTATTAATTTTGGTTTTTCCAAATTTAAATATAGGACTGCGAGATAAACAAAAACATAGTTTGTTCTTTGTATTCATAAAGTCAAGAAATATCTTGTTTTTCATTTACCCAATGAACATACATAACTTTTAAGATTACAGAAATAAATTTGTTCATTTGCAAACTTATGTTCAATATTGAAGACTGCAGTCTTCTGGGTTGTTGTGCCGTGTAGTCCGGTAGATTTTCCGCCAACGCTTCAGAAGTCATACTGCCTGACTACGCGGTACAACAACCCAGAAGACGGCAATCTTCAGACTCACCGCTGTCAAAACCTCAAATCCTACTTATGTTCAATATTGCTTTTCTATATCACTAAGATCAATTCACCATATTAATATCAAGCTTTTCTTCAGACCACAGTTATGTGTGAGACAATAACAGTGATGCAGAAAGAGACAAATATATGTAGTATGGGGAATGTTAAAATTTTGAATGCAGCATGAATTATGTTACTGATTATGAGAATTATAAGAATAATACATTCATTTACAATGAAACTGGTGAAGTTTACAGTAGCAAAAATGAAATCATATTGTGATGAACTTCAGTAGCACCCATCTAAACAATATGTGATGAACACAGTATGTTAAATTAATAAAATTTTCTTAGCGTTTACATTGTGCTAGTTTGTTAAAAATTACTGACATTTCAGGGACCATCTCTGGTCCTTGAATGTTGGTGATTTTTAACCAACTGACAAGACTTATAGCCTGAGAAGATTTTATTAATGGTCACTATGAAAGCTTTATACAGTAGTACATTCATCTTCAAGTATTTTTAAAGGAATTTTAAATCACTGAAGGTTCACTATGAATACATGAATAATTTACAGAAAAATGTGATACATAACTAAGTGGGGAAAATATTTAAAAGATATGTAAGACAGATGGTTTAAACATTACTAATCTATTGTATAATTTAACATTGATATAATATGCATTAAGAATCATATGACTAATCTTGATATCCACATTTTAAATGGCACACTACAATGCCAAGAATTTATAAATTCAGAGCTCATACTACTTCGTACTGTTCTGTGTCACATGCCATTATTATTTAACAGGATGGTACGATCACTGTAATGTGTGGTTACTTACATTCAGACCCACAATCCAAACCTTCCAATGTAGTTCATGTTACAATTGGCTGTAAAAATGAGATATAGTTTATTTTCAAGGTTGGAAAGTGCATTTTGTACTGTAATACACATATCCTTGCGCATTCTTTGCAATGTGCATTTAGAGGTATTAAATCTGCCTTGTTTGATAGTTCCCAATTTGGTCACCAGATTGCAGCACCTCAATGTCTATCTCACAAATTTCCTCATGTCAATTTCATATCACCGCTTGTAGGATATTCGAAAGTACAATTTTAAGGCTGTGTACCTTCACATCAAATGTCATCCGAATCCATCCAATGTTTCTCAAGCAGAATCGACAGGATGGACTTGACCAGCCCATAATGCATTCCGCCTATGCACTTCGTGCAAGGAATGTACTCGGGGAATAATGAGCAAAACTGACATTATAATTTCATGACTCACTTAGGACAGGAAGTTATTTTATAGAGAGTTAACTGCTCAAAAACAGCAAGGAGCTTTAAAATTGGAACTATTAAACTATAAGAAAAGGATGCCATTATGACTTCATTACCTTTGTCTGAAATAAAGTTCTGCATTATTCAAATTATAGAACCAAAGATAAGACCGTCCTTTCGGGTATAGTATAAAGTGGGATCAGTCACATGCCTTAGGCAATACATCCACTTTTTGAGATAATGATAAAAGAAATTCCTTTCATGGATAATAGTAACAAATTAATGAATCATTCATAATATTGTTTAGTAAATAACTCTTTAGTCATATATCTAGTCAAACCTGTGATTAGGTTTTCATGAAAGCTACGCATATTACTGTAGAGCCTCAGTGGCCTAAGGAGTATTTTAAAGAGAAGGTTGTTGTTCTAAAGCATTGGATGTAGGCACTGAAAACACCTACTTCTCCAGTAAGTAATTATATTACATCATACAAGATTTCTTTAGTATGCCAATTGATGTTTATCAACCTGTTTGGGGTCTCAGTGAGTTGTGATTTCTAAATCAATTTAATATTCAAATACTTTTCTTATTATTCATAGATGTGGAATTATGGTATTCCTCCTATCTCATTCATTCATACATACATAATACCATAAATAACTGCACAAAATATACTAAACATAATACATAAATCTCAACACTTAAAAGGAGGTCTTTATATGCACATCATGTTTGTGAGATACTTATATGGATAAAGGACATATTTATACGGTTTAAGAAGGCTTAAAATTTGAGCAAAACGTAACTGAATATCATCATACCTGTCTACTGTGTCTTCTGGATTATGACATCATGTAGTCTTACATGTGGTTGCCAAAGTGTCAGAGGAATATATCACTTCCATCTTCATGGTATAAGCTGGAGATGATATGTTCCTCCAAGACACGGTCGACCACCTAGAAGATCACATGATGTCATAATCCAGAGACCACAATCCACATTTTCACCACTGTGAAAACTTCAAATCCCATATAATCTTACTAGAACCTGCAAATTAGCATAAACATTTGATTTTATATTATGCAGTCCTTATAGACATAACTTTTAAAACATTTATACAAGATGCGCCCAAACACCACAGTCGATAGTCATCCACGTGCAAGCACCGATCATGTCTAGCACCATTAATCTGCAAACTGCATGTCCAGTTTACTTACATATGATTCGGAATGCGACTTACTGATTCAATACAGTTCTTATTTGCCTGAAATATTTCACAGAATGTTACAAATGAACTGACCAAAAATTCTTTAGTAACTCCTTACAATATTATAACTAATTCAACAAATGTTGACATGGAATAGCTCAATGATTTGCCTTTTTTGTAGAAAAAATATCTTCATTCTGATGAAATCTCTAAACACCAAAAGGCATAGAGGAACAATAAAATTACACCACTTACCTACACACTTTGAAGGAAACATCTAATATTCTGTACCAACTAGTTCAAGAATGTAGGCAAGATATATTGTTTAATACACAGGCTCTATTTCAATGCTGTGGTCCTATCTTTTCAACGCCTAGATGTCCTTTCATCAAGATTACAACAAAAATATCTTTTACTAAGTGAGGATGAACAGATCTTTATATTAACATTTATGTACACACACTGTCTCCTCAAATCCCTTTACCTCTGAGGCTGCCAAATACTTTACACACATTTTACATATCACTGGCCACATATGCAATACACACAAAACTTTCCCAAAATCACTACAATTTACCATTTTTTTTCTTACTGAAGGACAGAACTGAAATATAAATTTCATACAGATGCTATGTAAGTGTATTGAACATGCATCTTAAAAGTCCATAGCATACCTCATACAAATACGCCATTAAACCTTAAGTAACAGTTGCCATTCAACATTGATTTCGCATGACAAGAAAATACAGAACTCTTAATTTTGAAAACGAGGATCTGTAAACATACAGATAGATTATGAACAAATATTTGAATTTCAACTGATAATTCTGAGATGCATTAGAATGGTGAACAGAATTTAATTATTATTCTGTGATTTTAAGTTATGAAAAAAAAAAAAAATAGCGAACACATATTAACAGAATTCATATTTCATTTCCAAAGTCATAAAATACACAAATCTATCCTTCATGACAGACTCTTTATAAGAAAAGGTAGGAAAATATATGATGTGAATATAAATGGTGGTTTGAACAGAAGACTTTTGGACCAGTTGTTAAGGAAGCAATTCCTTAAGAGTCTTCGTAAACGCCAGCTCCTTGCGGGCGAACTTGCGTAGTGTAGCTATATGTATTAACAGGCACTGTACGTCAGAGGTATTAAAGAATTTCTAACTGTATCAGGTATGCTATGAACACTAGTACATATCCATTTTTCCAAAAAGACAACACAGTGAAGACATAAAATGTAATTACAATTAACAGGGTTATGCTAATACATTATACCAAGATGAGCATAGTACATCAGTGGAGTATATACTATTATATCATAATGAGTTACACTGGTAAGAATGTGATGATGAGACAGACATACAGGTTTATAGATAGGCTAGAACTGTTTTCCTGAGCTACAAAGGAATGTTATGTGAATACACTACGACTTGAAAACTGGTATCAAAATACAATGAATACTACGTGATGGCAGAGTAGACTCGAGTGGAAATCCAAGGACTAAAAACTAATCATACAATTTCTGAGATTGGTCATCATGACCAAACATACAGTCAACACTCATTCCACAGCTCATCATCAAACTTATGCTGTCAGATACAATCTCTATAAAGTAGTTTTCCCATTAAAATATCGCAAAATGCGTTGTTACATTAGTACACTTTATTCCTGCACTGCAGAAACACAGACAAATGAGACTCCATAACACATATTACCTAACAGAAATAAATTGCTTTACAAATTTAATTTCTTTTCATTACTCTTATAATATAATATACATTATACATTACAACTCTAATACTGGAGACAATTAAATTCAACTAAAAACTTACTTCATTTGATTATGTACTGTATATTGTAGGGTATGGAAATAAAAATGCGCAGGTAAATACCGAGCGACCGACAAAGAAGTACGGCTGTACCACTGGGAGTATGGCAACGAGCAGTATGATCAACGGGAAAAGTTCCCGACCAATATATCTTCATGAAGAACGTTCAGAAATTATTGCTTGGCCAAGGAGCCAATTTACAATATCATCAACTCTTTCCAAAACTGATGATCATCTTCACTTACCAAATCACCAAAATTTGCATTTGCAATGGTTGACTATAACGATGGTAGTTCACACACACGGACCCATTCCATTCTTAATGACTTCATATGTGTGTGTATGGGGCACACACCATCTGATGGCATATGTGGTGACCGATAATATGACACTGGCTGCTAGCAGTCTGAACTTGGAGGAGCTGCGTACCTATATTTGGGGTCTGGGTCTGCATCACAAATGTATTTCCCTATAACAATGAAGGATTTTTAATTAGAACTGCAATGGAACCACATACTTAAAACCTTTCTATGGTTTTGTCAGCATGGAAGAACCAAAGATGAGGAAGCAAAGTCTTTTCCATATATCCCACTTACGCATACAACAGCAGCCTAAGACTGACCCTGACATGATTTTAGAGGCTCAAATTATGAAAATTTCCTAACCAAACTATGGGAACCACTGATTTAAAGCAAAGTTCTGGAAACGTGGAGTCAAATTCCTAGCCGCCTTCTTGCCTTGTGTGTGTGGGGGGGATTATATTAGCAGCAGAGACCATTTGCATTTGTTTTTAAATTATTTAGTTCTGAAATATAATCTATACCTCAATATAATAAAACTTATCCCTCTGCAATGTCATAACCACACAAATTAATTTGCTAAAACTCAACAGCAATTACTTTAATGATAACATTAACAGTAACACGGCCAGATCTATAAACACCCGACAGTGGGCTAAAAAGTATGAATTTACAAACAATAAAAGTATCAGTAATATTCTACTTACCTGAAACAAATCTACGCTTAACAAGAGACAGTCGGTAACCAGTTCCAACCAGATCAAACTCCACTCCAGACAGAGTTGTACCTTCACAGTTAAACTGCGTGGCGATTGTTCCTTGAGAACTTGGGCCATTGGACACTTCTAGACGAGCACGCAGAGAGCCCACTCCATGGTTCTCGCTGTGTTGTGACAGTTCAGTGAATTTCCATACAGCTCGGTGACTATCTGCCAGCCTGCAACATAGTCTACCTACCTTAGTACTTCGATTCATATTTAACCATGATTAATCCACACATTAAGCACAGTCACAAAGTTTCGTGCTATTCGTTGCATGGCTTCTATAAAGATCGTCTATACGGCTCATAACGTCAAATTTGTTCTTCATAGCCCCACTCTTGAATCCTATTTCAAATTCTCTGTTACCAGCCAAATGAACAATCATCTAAATTCATGAAGGGAAAAAAGCATGTTTCAGACTATAAATTTAGATATAATTTGGGAATTAACGTAGTACAAAGCTGCCCTTGGAGTTCACAGAAAATTACAGAGCTAACCGTAAGACCCATACTGATTCAAATGTGAAGCGATGAATTAAACATTATGAATACGATGCTTATGTTTTACTCACATTTTAATAATAAGTGACATGGTCAAACCGTGTGTTAAGGCCGCCATTCACGATCGCTCCATTCGTCCAAATGGCACGGTGTCGCTCCAAAATTGTACCGTGAATGCGGAAACTGAAGTCCATTGGCGTGGCGTGGTGGGCTCGTTTGGATATTCTGTCGAGCCATAATCCATCCGATCGCTCCATCACTCCATCGCGCCATCGTATAGTGAATGGGGGAATCGGCGATCGAGCCACTCCAAATCGGTTCGTGAGTGGCGGAAACGTGGTCCATTCTCATGCCAGTCTGCCACGAGCCTTCGTCCAGTGAAGTCCAAACTTGTATAATGTCGGGTCGTGAGTTTGTTATTGAGGTGATTGAGAAATATAGAGAGTTGCCATGTTTGTGGCAGATAAGTAATGAAGACTATCATGATAAAGCTAAAAGAAGCTTAGCAATGGAAGAATTGGTGGTTTTATTTAAAACCAAAGATCCTACCGCCAACAAAGAAAATTCCCTTAGAAGTTGCTTCAGAAAGGAGCATAAGGACTTAAATTGCTTCTATTTAAGAGCCATTGCTTTGACCACTTTCGTTTTGGTTTTTTCCTTTTAATATACAGGCATACTGCCATAGCTAGTACCAATTCTTCGTCCATCGCAAACACCACGCACTTCACAGAGGGACAACAAACCGCGACTGGCGTGACGCGACCGTGAATGTAGTACCTCTTTGGACGACATCCGTTTGGACGTCATCCAT